ATGACTTGAATCTTTGATTCTATATTTTCATCTAAAATCACTTCGGTCAGGTTTGAAAATGCAAGTAACGCAGATGGAAAAGATTCTGAATACCTCATTTGGTTCAATTGGGCTGAAATCCTATGAATTCAAAGTATATTCCTGAATACCTCTGATTGTTTGGGTAATGGAATCACTCGCAGTAAATATGAATTTATAATTATTATGTATAAAGGTTCCTGAACGTTTTCCTGATGCACATGGAAACTTAGTGGAATTCTAAAGTATCAATCTGAAATGTCTGATAGATCGGTTAGAAATCAATTCTCTTCAATGAGATCTTATTCCTGGAATCCGAACAAATTGCACAAGTTCATGTTATCCATACTGATGACTACAAAATGCCTCTGAAAAATACATGGATCATCTAGTGTGTTCCCTAAGTACTATTTAATTATTTTTATCTATTTTGAAATATGGTACATTGAAATCTATGATTTATTATTTATTGATACACCGACTTACCGGTAATGGTTTATGGACTATGACTAATATATGATTATTGGTTTTCATTGATATATGATAACGATGATTACGGATTTATGGAAATTATGCATACTGCATAAATTGTATTTTGAAATACTGAGTTTGGATGGATTGAATTACATAGTATAGCTCTGATCAAGCTGGTAAACCTTACGGACCTAATGTGACTCTTGGGTAGGCTCACGGGCCCCAAGATGCTCCATTAGGTTGAATTCTTTTGCTGTGTGCTTAGGGTAAGCCCTATGACTTATGGACTTAAGGATACATGCCCCAAAGCCTATCCTTAGGTTGGCTTCCTTTTTGTCGTGTGCTTAAGGTAAGCCCTATGGACGCAGTTCTGGGAACTGCGGATGGTGTACAAGAGAATGATTTAAACTATGAGTTTCAAAGGTTAAACTTCATTATGATTTTATGAGATTTACTGAACTGTCATTTGATAAATCTACCTATTATGATTTTATTGTACTCTTGGAACACACTAGACATCCTATTCGATCTCCTGAAAATGTTAAACTATGAATGCTTCTTATGAACTGAGATTCATGGCTTCTACTCGATGAACTACTAATGGAACCCCATATTATTCTGCAATTGGTATACATTTTATTCAATAAGGAAATTATGGCCTCCCATTTGTCTGCATGTCATGTAGCATCATCTGGTAGTTCTGTATTACTGAGCTTTCCGAAGCTCACTCTATTACTCACCATTGCAGGTTAAAAAATTGTACGAGTACAACTATCAACATCAGTAAGGGAGTTCTTCCGGCGTTGCTTGCAGAGTATGGTACATGTGATTAGGGGGCATGTGGATTGTATTTTGTTTTATATTTGAGTTTGGAAAACCTATTTTATTTCTGAATAATAATAAATCATTTATGATTTTACATGTTTTAAGAAAAGTTTTAAATTTTCCGCTATTTTTTCAGTGAGTCGCTCTGGTGGCCCTAATGTGACACTCCAGATCGGATCGGGCTATCCGCATCGGTCTGAGGGGGTTACATTTAACCTACATAATTAAAGAAGATATATGAACAAAAATAATTTTCAAACGCCGACATTAACTTAATAATAAGCTTATAAACTTCAATGTCAATATCCAACATAAAATACATCAAATACTTGCTTTTTATCTCTATTATTTCACGACCAACTATTAGAGGTTATGGCCTTAAACGATGGATGTTAAAGACTACATTCTTTTCTATTGAATTAATTTAAATTTATGACCAATTTGATAGATTGTGTATGTAATAAGTACTAAATGTGTAATTATACAAATTTTGATAAATGACATGTGAGCACTTCAGTTAATTGTTAACAACAAGTGACTTGATTGAATGCATTTAGATAGTTTAGTAACCTGATTAAAAAAATTTCAAAAATGGTGGTCAAAATAAAATATGCAATAGTTAGGTGATCATTATTATAGTTTACCAAAAAAAATTATGAAAAATAATATAATAATTTTTTTAACTAATTTACCGTTAATTTTTAACTAATTTATAATTACAGACGTAATTTAAAATTTAAAATTTTTACAAATTACATTAACGATGCTCATTGTTAATTATGTTCAATAGTACTCGTCAAACATAATAAAATATATATATATATATATATGATAAAGTAGCGGATGAACAATACAAAATACATTTGCCTTGATTCCAGGAACAGTGCAACAAAAGGACAGATGATTAAACATTTTCATTACAAAATTAGGAAAACATAACATTAGGAAACACAACAGTTTTGACATAAAATAACAAAACAAAAACCATTCTTCTTCCGTTCATGGCGGCTCGTTTTTGTTTTTCAATAACCATAACCACCGCCACGGTTTCTTCCACTTTCAAGGCGACGGCGAACAGCTGAAGAAGAAGAAGAAGAAGGTTTCATGGCAGCAAAAGAACACTTTTCTTTCTTTAAAGTCTCTTCTTCGTCCAACAGAATTTGCCTGCACCTACACTCCAAACTGCAAAATAAAATTTTATATATTTTTAAAATAAAACACAAAAATTTCGAAAATAAACCCAAAACTTTGAAAATCTTTGTTTCAACCCCTAAACTCACGCCGGCCACCACCCTTTCCCGTTGACAAAGCTCCACCGACCTCACATCCCCCGGCGATCAAAACTCCTATGAAATCGTGACCGATCGACGACAAATCGATGTTTTATACTCCTCAAACCCTAGGTTGAAAATCTCGATTCCTACGACCAGCCGACAACAAATACGACAACTTATGACTAAGAGGATGGCAGGGACTACGCCGGCGGTGGTGATCGTGGCTGGAAAAGGTCACGGCGACGGATTAAGGGTAGGATTTAGAGATTTGGGGGCTATTTTATAATTTAAGAGAAATTAAGTTTTTATAAATATAATAATATTTTTAATATTTTAAAAAATAAATTTCAAAATCACCAGATTGTGACACGTGTTACTTAACGGGGAAAATTAATGTCGTTGACGGTTCAAGTACCTAAATGGATAACGTTTATAACGTTAAGCACCTATTCGTTGAAAAAAATATTTAAGTATTTGAATTTTCGTTTCAATTAAAACAATAATGTGATGATATAGTTATTTATTTTTTATTTGTGTAAAAATTTGTCAATTTTTTCAAACATTATTATGGATTGATCCTTTGTGTCATTAATTGCTATTCCTGACAAAATTTATATTAAAATATTTACATTTCATTTATCTTTATTTTTTCGCATCGATTTTCTATAAAATTCTCTTAAAATTGATGAAAACTTATCTAAAAAATTGATATTCTAGTGCTCTAATCTTATTTGATGATAGTATGAATGTATGATGTGTCTAATTTCTAGATATATTTTTCGTATTCTTAAAAGAATATTACTCACCGTTTGAATTTTCGAACAAATACCTCAAGAGACAATCGTCAAACCCAAAATAATAAATTTTATGTTTAATTTCATGAGTTTTAAGAGGTTTTAGAAATTCTAAAGTGGTCATAAAGTAGTATAAGGCGATAAAGTGGTCATAAAGTAGTATAAGGCGATGAGACGAGTTCATCGGTATTTAATATGACTGTAAAAGATTACGAAGAACGACGATATCCGGTGATCGCTGGAAATCGACAAAAAAACCCTTTATTTTGATAAGGAATATGATGAGATAGAATAAAAATAACACTCCACGATGGATAATAAATGATACGGCAAATGGACTTAATTAATTCTTTTAGAAAATTTAAAATTTAATTAGTTTTTTAGAAAAAAAAATTAAGGGTCTGTTTGTTTGGTTGTAATTGGTTTTTCGGAAAATGAATTACTGAAATTTAAATTACTGGAACTGGAAAATGAATTACTGGAATTTGAATTCTGGAAAATGAATTACATTTCTGGAAAACGTTTTCCGGAAAATGTTTTCCGTAAAATAAATTACATTTTTTTGAAAAAACATCTGGAAAACGTTTTATGATTTTCGGAAGATGTTATTTAAACCTTTTTTTCACTAGTTGAAGAGTATTTTAAAAGTTATTTATTACAAATATTAAATATAATAAATAATATTATTTATCATAAAACTTAGTATTATTATTTTAAAATATTAAAATAATTTATTTATTATTAAATATTTTTTTTATAATTTTATTAATAAAAATAATATTTTTTGTATATTTTTGTGAAATAAAATATTATAAATTATATTAATTATTTATTAAAGTAATAGTGTTATATTATATTTTAAAAATATTAATTAGTATATTTTAAATATCTTTATTAAAATATTATTTAAATATATAAATAATATTATTCATTATTAAATATATAAAAAATTGTATTATATATTATTAAAATAAAAATATAATATCTTATATTATTATAATATAATTGATTATTTTATATAATATTAAAAATATAATATTATATTATTATAAATATTAATAAATAAATAAATAAATAATATTTTGATGAAAATGATATTAAAATATTTTATTAATATTAAATTCATAAAATAAAATTATTTTGAATAATTTTTCTTTGAAGTGAAAAGTTCGGAAAATGACTTACGGAAAATGAATATGTAAGTCATTTTACAGAAAACACAAAGAAAATTCTGTTACTAGGAAAATGAATTACATTTCGAAAAATCAATTACGTGAAACAAACACAGGAAAACATTTTCCGGAAAACAAATTACGTGAAACAAACACGAAAATTTGGAGAAAACCAATTTCGTAATTCCAATTACGGCAAACAAACACAGCCTAAGAGCTCATTTAACTTTCAAAATTTTTTTAAAAGTTATTTAAAAATTATTACTATATCAGATAAGAATCCGACAGTTTGGACGAACAAAATATATAATAATTACATTACTAAGTTGCATCTTGGGACAAAACAGAGATGCATGGAATTCATGTCTATCTTCCACATTTATTCTTCGTACGTAACCTACGTACTAAATTCCATTCTCTAATCTGTAAACCATAATCTTACCTTTTATTCTCTTTGTTCTAAGCAACGTTTGGTTTTATTATGCACCAACGTTGCGAAACCATGCATAAATACTTAATCATAGGTTTCATATATGTATTTTGATCGGATCCCTACAGACCAGGAATCATGCCGGCGGTGTAAGGCACCCCGGAGTTCTGGATCCACTCCTCACCGCGTAAGAACACGCCGGCCGTGAATTCCTGGGCTTGAGCCTCGTTTATCTGTTGGATACCTTTCCATTTAACCCTCCGTGTCTTATCGGCGCCTGGTCCCCGGTTGTTGTACTCGGCGTAAAATAGGGTATCGAGTGCGAAGTCGCCGTTCCACGGCATCCATCCCTCGGGTGTGACGATGTCGTCCATCTGAGATTGCATGATGATGGTCCTCGAACACAGTCTCCACGGCCGACCGAGGTGCGTTTTGCTTCTCGCCTTCACCGGGAGGTAGTCTGGATCGCCGGTGATGGTGCAGTTCTGGAGGACGAAGCCGGAAGCCTCGCGGTTGTCCGACCGTCCTTGAGCTGTGATGATGCATTGCTGATTGTCGAGCGGTTTCCGAACGATGAGTTTGCAGTTCTGGTAGACGGAAGCCGAGTTGCCGAAGATGAAATCGATAGTGCCAGAGATGCTACAGTCCCGGTAATATTGTCGATGACTATGGGCGTAAAGAGTGTCTTGGTAGCCGTCAAATTGACAGTTATAGAAGATGGACTGATCACCTTGAACCTTAACAGCCACCGCTTGGTGCTTAATAGCTCCCGCACTGTTCTGGAAACCCATGTCCTTGGCCATAAATTTCAGACCGGAAATACCTGTAAACATTATTCTATGTTACTCGAATTCAAGTGTGAAATTTATAACACAATGTATGTTACCAACCAACAGTTGCGGTCTTGAATGTGATAGTGCCGTCGGCAAAGTTCAAGTTACCGGTGATGATGGTCTTCGTCGGTCCGTCTCCGACGAACACGACATTATGCATGTGCTTCTCGACAATAACCTGTTCATTGTAAACGCCGGCCTTAATGTATATCACAAACGGGGCAGGACTTTTCTTAGGGACTTCTTTCAAAGCTTCATTGATGGTAATATATTTGCCACTACCATCTTTAGCGACGATAACATTAGATTTTATTTCCGACGGATTTTGCTGCAATAACATCCGTTGCCTAAAACTAACCCACACAGGGAACCCTTCTTTAGCCATTAGCTTACGTTTAGCACCGGCTTTGTCACCTTTTCCCAACCCTTGAATGTTTAAGTTACCGACGATTTTCGAAATGTCACTAACCATGGCTAGGCCATTGATGGTTAGCTTTTGTGAAGTGCTCAATAATTGTCTCATTTTCTCGCCGGCGTCGGTCGACACATTAATGAACCCGTCCAAGCATGTTTGTTGATACGTGATGGCGCCTCCCATCCATATCTTGAGGTTCTCGATGTATTCGTTTAGCCTGCTAACGTCGAATGCGCCTAGTTCGTTGAACGAGTTGTGTAGGTCGTCGATCGCGTATCCCATCAGCTCTTCGCAACTATCGACTGCTTGACGTGTCATCGGATCTTTGGCCGCTCGTTTAACGGTGCCGGAGTTGTTGACGACCCTCTGTATCTCGTGGATTGCAGCTTGGAAGCCGGCCCTGATTAGCTCTTTGGGGTCGGTTGAGTTGGTGTCCTTGAGGCTCTCTTCGCATTCTTTTTTGTAATCAATAGGTTGGCAAAGGGATTTCACCGCCTTATTGGATGTCACTGGCTCTTCGCCACCTCCTTCCTTGCCACCGTTACGGCGGCTAACACCGACCGCCACGGCTACCACCATGGCCACCAATATGACTGAACAAACACCGATGATTGCTGGTGCTTTTCCCATTTTAAAATAACTTTATTCTTCTTTTTTTCCTTTCACACTATTTTACACTAACTTTTTTTTGTTTTTATAAATTTTCTTTCACGCTAAATATAGTTTTAGAGGAAAGAAAACTTCATTAAGGAAGCTTGTAAGAAATTTGATCTGTACGAGATAACTGAAACAATTGAAGAAACTGTTTCTTCAAATAGAAGAGGACATGAACCACTAAAAGTAAAAATAGAAGAAACTCCTTCCTCGATCTGAAATGTTGGAAATTTGATCGGTGAGAGTTGCATGTTTGTAGGCAGTCTTGGCCTTTTTTTGGCTATTTGAACAGTCTTTCAATCTTCAAAAGAAAAACCCTAAAAGCACTCTTATAATTTCATGTTTTACTTTCAAAAGATGTGTCTGATAAGATGTCGCACGTCATAAATTTCATCTTTTTAATCTCCCGTCATTAATGAAAAACATTAATAAAAATTGATATAGTTTTCTTACGTAAGATTATTGTGTAGGATATATTTTAATCTTAACCGTCGATTTAGACTGTTTTTTAATCGGACAACCAAGTCGCACGGATGGACTCTAATACGTGACACTTTGTGTAATGATTTGCATGTTGATCAAGTGATTATTGAGTGGGATTAGCAACACAATGTTAATGGATGTTGAAGAATGCTATGATATTTACAGCAATGAAACAAAACACCGATGATCTATAAAGAAATGGAGCAGAATTTTGTAATGTATTATTCCAGCATTCTGTTTCATAACAATTCTCAAAGTTCTTGCTGCCTTCCACATGTGTGCCAGGACGGTGTCGGACGATACCCCGGCTCCACCGTGTACTTGGATTGCCATGTCCAGCACCTTCAGCGCCATGTTCAGAGCTGCCACCTGCCCCATCCAACATCCAAAACATTCTACTGTAACAAAGTTCATCATGAACCTCGAATGAAATTAATGTACGTGTAGACATATCGGTTACCTTCGCCATTGCAATGGTTCCACGGGCATGCTTGTTTCCAAGTCGATCGAGCTGGTCGGCTGCTTCAAGAACCAATAACCTAGCTTGCTCCAGTTCTGTTCGACACTGCAGAAAGCAACGATTTTCAACTAAATGACAAAACTCAATCACTAAAATGTACATCCCAGTACTACAATCAATACACATATCCGTCTAATCTCTCGTTATAGAGAGACAGATTAAATTACCTATGCAATATCCAAAAGAAATGAACCGTGCTGAGCAATATATTTTCCAAAAGTTTTCCGATGAAGAGCCCTTTGTGCCATTAACTGCATGCCACGCTCAGCAGCACCAATCATTCTCATGCAGTGGTGCAATCTTCCTGGGCCGAGTCTTCCCTACAAGGATATAAACAGCACAGAGATAAAATTATATCGTACACTGAAAATGGGTGGTTATTGACGTTTCTAGATAAATTTTTGAACTCGAAGATTAAATTTAAAGAAGGTCGAGCTTATAAATGCTGAAGTTTGAGGTCTCCAAGTTGTGTAGATGCAATTTGCAATTGCATCCAACTTTTGAGAATCTTGGTACATGCAAATATTGTGGGAAGAAAGTGAAATTCGAAACAGAATATGTAAGGTGGACATGGCATACTCCTTTCAATATAAATGGAAACTTTACCTGGGCAATCTCAAATCCGCGACCTTCTCCCAGAAGAATATTCTTTGCTGGCACACGAACATTCTGAAAAGAAACTTATGCATGGCCGTGAGGTAGTCTTAATGTCCACTAAGATCATAGACTGTTGCTTATGCTTGGGGGCAGTGAAGTCAGTTTTCCCCTGGATATCGTTCAGAAATCAGATCACCTTTTAGTCAAATTAATATTAGCTAGAACGTGTATCAGAAGCTACAGATTAGATGCACGTATAATACATTCACTCAACGCCATTCTAGAAGACTAACCATGAGTATAAGAATTCTGCATCTTGGATCCATGGCTCCGCTCGTCCACCACTTGGTCCCATTGATGACATACGAATCTCCTTCTCTGTAGAAAGAGTGCATAGACGGTGAGATAAACTCCAACAATATCCGTAAATCAGATAAGAGTGTATTAAATTGGAATGAATGAGGGGTTGAAGTGCAGTTACACGAATTTAAATCTCCATTGTTTTATCAATGAATAGAACGTTCATATGAACAGTACAATTTGCTTTGGAAAATTACTAAAATAGAATTAGGTTGATGTGCCTTTTAATAGAGCACTCAATATTGGTTGCATCTGAGGATGCAACTTGTGGTTCAGTCATTGCAAATGCAGAGCGGATTGTCCCCTCGAGCAATGGAACAAGCCATTCGTTTAGCTGTTCTTTAGTTCCATACCGCAACAGCACCTAAAAACGAAACAACAAATATAAATAAATGTAATGGTAAATCAAACAGATACTGGCTTACCTAGGTAGGAAGGAAGGAAATTGGTGAGGGAGGAAAACGAAAGAAAATACGAAATTGTTAGTTGGGTCTAAAGAATATTTATAACCTTGTAAATATTCAATCGTTTAGTTGAAGCAAGTTGAAATCTACCATAGTTTACAGTAGAAGTAAGCCATACCTCCATATTACCAGTCTCTGGTGCACCACAATTAAAGATCTGCGGAGCCCAAAGAGATAGACCCATAATCTCACAGAGATATCCATATTCAAGGTTTGAGTGACCAGCACCAAGAAAAAGATCATTTGCGTAGTCAGTATTTACACTCCCATTAAATGAGTTCCTTTGCCCTAGCAGCACTATCAAACTGGACAAAAACGGTTTCTCGAGAATGTCATATTTTCGAATATACCGTAATATCTTAAGAGCAAAAATGAGTAAAAATAGTAATTGGTTTAAAAAAATGTTTAAACAGAAGACTTGGCACATAAAGGAATCCATAAGTTCCACAATCCTTCTTTCTTTGCAAGCTCTTTTAACCTCTCCTCCTCTGGATGCACCGTCCAACGCAAGTCAGATCGTGCAAGTTTGCTGAATTCCTCTTCCATGGGATAAATGTGATCTTCCATGAATTGAATCAATTTGTTTCTTAAATCCTGGACCTTTTTACTTGGAATAAACCTCCCACTTCCTTCTGGAACGCCTTGGACTTTGTTCTCAGTCTCGTGTTGCCTTCTACCTTGTGAAACTGGATTCACGTAGTTAAAAGAACAAATGCACCTTAAACAATTGCTTCAGACCAAAATTTCATAACCAAACTGTTAAAATCTGCAACAATCAAGAACCTAAATGATGTTTCTTAAGAAGTTTCTGTGATGCAGCTAGAATCACATACCAGTCTTCTTAAGAAATTTCTTGAGAGAGAAGAGAGGGGTAAATGATTGAATGGCTTAACTACCGGAGGGGGGTTGCTCCGGAAGAACAGTCTTCTTTGCGATAAAAGCCAATGCAGAATCTATGAGACTATTAGCGTGATGTCCTGTATGTTCCGCACGTTTACCTCCTGAGGCATTACCCTGCATAAATGTGAGTAAAACATTGCATCAATGTTGGACTTTCAAAAACTGAAGCTTTTATAACAATGAATTACAACTCCAATCTAATTAATGTCATGTCATGCCATACCATTAACCATCTATCATACACTCCTGCGTAGATCGATGCTCCACGGAACATGGAAAAGGCAACATAGAACTTCCACTGAGACGCAGGCCATGCTCTCCCCTACAAAGCAACATTTTTCAGCAAAAGCAATGTATCAAGGAGTTAACAGAACAGTTATCTTATAGATGCTTCCCATTTCTGGGGAACTGAAGCCTAAGAATATTCACGGTCAAAGAGATGGGGAAATGGTGATCGAGGGGGTTGAAGTGTGTATGAGAGACACTTAACGATAATTTCCCCATGAAATGAGAAGATTGTTACAACTGTATATGTTAATCAAAGGCATGTTTATAGTTACTGTGACACATTGAAAAATTCCCAAATTAAAAAGAATTTGGGAAATTTTGACCTAAATTCCTAAATTAAAATTAGTGACCAAATTGTAAAAATAAAAGGATTGAAGCTGTGTTTCGAAAACCCTATAATGTTCAATGGCTTTCTTTGTAATTCACCCATATTTCTTTTAAACTAAACTCCTCCCACAATTATATCTTCTCAGAACTGCACCCCCTTTGTTTCTAAAAATATAAACAAAACCCTTGCGTCGAAAACTTGTAGCAGCGCTGCTCCTAGCCCTCACCTCTGATTCGTCGTCCGGTCTTGTAGGTAAGGTCTTCGATCTTCGATCTTCGTTCATGTACCTAGGCAACTCCCCATCGCCATCGTCATCGTTGAACCGCATCGGTTTGTGAAACCCGTGAGCCTTGGCTCGCTCTCGTCGCCGTGGGGGTCTCGCGTCGGTCGTGTATGGCTGTGGTAGGGTCGAGCGCTCGTAAGGGAAGACTCGAATGGCCTGGGTTGCGGCTAAACGGTGTTGTTTGGTCGTGGAAAGCTTCTGCCGGTTGCTGCCCTCTTTCGTCGACGTCGTCGCTGACCATTTAAGGTCATGCCAGGGCTTACCGTGGTATACTAGACCCATGGAGACTACTGCCCGCGCACCCTTGTCGCTGACAGTCCTATTTCATTTTACCGACTGACCATTATATTCGAATCAGAATTTGCTGTCGGGTGATTGAAAATAATTTTAAATAGTCGTAAATTATTATTTCTTAAATTGGGATTTCTGATTTGGGACTTAAATTCGGAGGTTGTAAAATTTGCAGGAAATTCTGAACAGGAAACCGAGTTCCTCCGCCACTGTTGCCCCGCCACTGCTGTTGACCTACTTTGCAGTACATCTAATCCTTGCCGAGGCATTCATATAGACAATGTCAATTTTGCAGTACGCCGGTCCTCAGAATGACAACCTGCCTTTCAGTTCCAATCGTCTGAATGCCAAGGTCGCCTACCATGGTTTCCAAAGCCCTCCACCTTGCCGTTAGGTGGATTACAATGATCCAAAAAGACTTTACTTACTGTCTGAGCCAAAGAATTTATGGAAATATAGAGAACATATGTAAAAAAAAAAAAAGCAACACTAGATATAGCTAAGTGTACTATAACTATATTGATGTCAATTCCATTTGTAATTCCCAGATTTTAGTGTACATTAATTCCTAATCCAATTGATACATGGTTTTGATCTACAAATGTTGCTCGTGGTGAAAATTCATAAGCAAGTTCAATCTGGATTCATAAGTGTCGGATACGAATATCTTTAATTCGGAACAAATCATATCACCTCAAAAAGGTTTCAAAAGTATGAACATTGACTTATCAAGGAACAGGGAGATTAGATCTTCAATTCACCATTATGAACCCAAAAACTCGACATTTGCTTCATAGCCTGCAGAACATCTTCAGAAACTTTTTCCCATGACTCATTTTTCTCAAACTAGTCATATCCAACACCCATATTCGACACATTCCTGAACATATATATGACAATACAACCTTCTGATTATGTTCTAGATAAGTTAATAAAAACGTAAATATATTCCTATTCAACACTCAGGTGAATCCAAACCGAATAACACAGTGAGAATCTACTTGACGACAGTGCAAATTTAAAAATAATTTTCCCAGGACTGAAGATCATAAACTAAATTGCAATAATGCAAGGCAATTGACATCACGAACTTCAGATCACTGAAACTAAGCAACTCTACCATGAAACTTTTGCTACTAAAAACAAACATCACAAAATTTTCAATAATCAATTCAACAACATTGCTATGGCATTCATTAAATCAAATCAAATAGTTACAGCAACAGTGGAAATCGCTAGTAATTGTTATAAAAAACTATAAACAATTGAGTACATGTACAGAACTTGAATTTGATATATATATATATATATAAATATATCAAAAGAAGAGATTTTAACAATACCCATCGGTCTTCAAATCATCAAACTGAAGTGAGTCACATCGGAACCTTCTCTCTATCATCGGCTTCATCGATTCCGTTCGCCACAATTCTAACCATCTTCTTAAAAGCGAAATGAACACAATTCGACAAAGCGATCCATGAAATCACCTCGTACAAAAAATCTAGAGCTGTACCCGTCCACGGAGACGGAGATTCATCCCAATTCTTCTCTCCAAACCCGCCAAAATTCCAACCACTCCCTCCGCCATTCCCGCCGCCGAAATTACCATATCCGTCGCCGCCGTCACTACCAAAAAAGAATCCGTGTTCTTCGCCGTCGTTGGAATCGTCGCCAGTGAACAACTTCCGCTTTGTGTGGCGCCTTCTTCGGAGGAGAATTCGAGGCAATGTCTTATAGGAGTTGGGCTTTACGGGAGGAGGCGCGACGGCGTCGATGGGGACTATTCCGGCGGTTACATGGAATATTCCCATATTACCGGCGGATGAATCGGAGGAGAGGTAAAAGCAACTGTTGGCAGTCAAGTAATGGTGACGATCGAGGACTAATTTCGCAAATCCTAGTCCTTGGGAAGTGGCTACCGCTACGGCATCGCAAATTAAAGAGAGTTCCATTGGGTAAAATAGCAATTGAAATTAATTTGACAAAAAAAATTAGGGCTTTTGTGAGAAATTGGGGAAAGGAAATTTGGGGACTTTTGCGTAGTGAAGGTCGAGGACGATATAAGAATCGAAAGAGAAAACGCAACGTGTATTTATATGGTCGTTTGGATGGGCGTTGAATTTTGACGGTGGCTGGGAAAATGAGGGTAAATTTGGTATTATAATTTAAAAGTAATTTTAAAAGTGTAGTATAAAATAATTTTTAAAAGTGATTTATAAAAGTATAATTTAAAATTTAATTGTTTAAATTATTGTTAAAAATTGAATTTGAAAAGATAAATATTTATTATATACATTATGTTGTAAATTAAAAATATAAAAATTTAAATTATATTTTTAAAGATGTTATTATTAAATTATTAAAATCAAATATAAATATATAATTGAGTGAAGTTCATGCACGAATAAAGATAAAATTATATTTTGTTTCCAAAGCAAAGTTGAAAATAAAAAGAATGTAAATCTTAACTTTTAGCGGTTAGTTTAAAACTATCGTTTTAACTATATTTTTTATCTTTTATTTGTTTGGTATTGATTTTACTGTCAAAAATAACTTTTTAATTAAAAGTGCTTTTTAGAAATTATTATCAAACGGATCATGAATCATATTAGTAGTTTAATCAATTAAATTATTATTTTTAGGGTTTAATGGATTATATTAATTGAATTATCAGTTAGTAATATTAAGTAAAATAATTTTAAAAAATTAGGGTAAACTAAACGTATCCTAACTATCACTTTTGTTATGTTTTGATTATTAGATCATTTTTTAAAAAAATCATACTTAACTTTTAGTTTTAGATTCATTTTATCATTCATCGTTAAAAAATTAACGATATTGCTTATGTGTCACCATAAAGTGATACTATATCATCATTGTGAAAATAAAAAAAAATATCATGTCAGCAGTTTTATTAATTGCTTAACGGTGAATGACCAAAATAAAATTAAAACGTAATGATATATATGATTTTGAAAAAAAAAATTAAATAACATACATTTATTTTAATCTTAAATATTAAATAAGAAATTAATATTTGATAAATATATTATATAAAATAATATTTTTTAGACTACATTTATTTTAATCTTAAATTATAATTTTTTTGGGTAGAAACCGCTAGTTTTATATTATGTTTTAAGATTTAAAAGTTTGTGTTTATAGTTTGGTATTTATGATTTATAGTTTACAATTTAGGATTTAAAGTTAAAGTTTTAGATTAAAAAATAGTTTGTGTGAATTAAAATTTACAGACTGTGTATTAAATAATAAATCTATATACAATGATATTTTGTATATATCTCAGGATATGTTGGGACAAATTATTCTAAAAATTGAGCTAAAAAAATTTAAATAAATTTATCTTTAATTACGATGTAAAAAATTAATTCTATTAAATTAAATTGAAAGTCATAAAATTTAAATATTTTTACTATATCTACTTATAATGCAATAGTATATGAAAATGATTTACTTTTATTAAATTTATATATTCATATTAAGAGTTATTTTGATTTGAAAACCTAATTTTTTTCTTATTATCTTTGTCCCTTATATTTTTCATCTTTGTTGGTCGGTTACTAGATTAATTTTAGTGCTAATTATCAATAGTTAATATATATATATATATTGTTTCTCATCTTTGCTTTTTTTTAATTTTAATAATTATATTTTTATAATACGTTTTTCTCTGTTTTTATCACATATTTTCCTATGTTTTTTTATCGTTGTTTCATTTATAAATTTTTTTTATCAGGATTGAATTTGATGTTGGATATCACTTATTTGTTATCATATTGATCTTTCATGCTTTGAAACATTGGTCGACTCTGATTTATAGTTTTCGGTGGTCTTTTAGTAACTTGATCATCCTTCGTGGTTCGTTTGCTGATGCGATTATATATGTTTGTATCTATCTTTTGTTCGAGATTTTTAGTTAGATTTTTTTAATATTTTTCTTGTATAGTTACTGTGTGACCTTAAGTGACTAATTTCAAGTGTAATTGATTGTATAAAATATTCTAATTATATGTTTAATTTACGATTATAATTATAAACGTTTATTATAGTTTTATATATTTCATCTTCTATAAGAAAACAATGCATTAAGGAGAATCTTAATTAAGCCCAACAACTAACAAAATGGGCCAACCCTTTCAATCTTTTCCTGGATCAATACCAAAAGCCCTAACCCTAACAAAATATCGGATATGGTTATAAAGGCCGCCTCCGCCTTTTTGTGCAAGAAACACTCTAGTTTTCCGCTCTCAGAAACACACGGAAGAGAGGGGACGGGAAAGGAAGACGACTATGGTGTCCTTGAAGTTACAGAAGCGGCTCGCCGCTAGCGTCCTGAAGTGTGGTCGCGGCAAGGTTTGGATCGACCCCAATGAAATCAATGAGATCTCCATGGCCAACTCCAGTAAGTTGCTTCAATTCTTTCTACTTCATTATCCTGATTCAGTTCATTTCTATTTGTTATATATATGTATGTGTAGGTTTTGTTTGGTTCCTTAAGAAAATGAAATGATTGATTCAGATTTGTATTTATACTTATTTCTAGTTGGTAAACTCAGTAAGAACAGCTTAAGGAGTGGTGTTTACTGAAGAACTAGTTTGTAAAATGAAATAAAATCAGCTCTGCAATACTTTTTTTATCTGTTGGATTGTCGTTGATGTTCTAATGATATTCTTAAACTGTTTCTGATAATATTTAGCATAGTACTAAATTGTGGCTGTGGTGTGGTTGTGGATGTTGCCGACGATACCACATGATTTATTTCCTAAAAATAAATATGTTTTTATGTTGTTGATGCAGTTTGTGGTATCACGATGACCTTGAATACGATGCGTCCATTTATACTGCATTGCGGCTGCAATTTAGTACTATGATATTTATGGTTTCATGATTTGAAGCTGCTTGTGATCTATTGTTTCTGTTTTCCCCTTCCAACCAGTTTGCATGTTAAGAATTTGATCACTGGTTTTTGCAGGGCAGAACGTCCGGAAACTTGTGAAGGATGGTTTTATTATCCGGAAGCCTACCAAGATTCATTCCCGTTCTCGTGCACGCCGAATGAAGGAGGCCAAGAGAAAGGGCCGACACTCTGGATATGGTGCGATTAATCCTCGATTCAGTAGCCTATATTTATCGTGTTGGGTTCAACGGTTGTGTGCCATTGTTGTTCCTTGAAGTTCTTATTAAGCTAGACATTATCATCATCTCACTGCTTTAAGGGAAGAGGAAGGGTACCCGGGAGGCAAGATTGCCGACGAAAATCCTATGGATGAGGAGAATGCGTGTGTTGAGGCGATTGCTTCGCAAGTACAGGGAGTCTAAGAAGATTGACAAGCACATGTACCATGACATGTGCATGAAGGTGAAGGGTAATGTGTTTAAGAACAAGCTTGTGTTGATGGAAAGTATCCACAAGTCCAAGGCCGAGAAGGCAAGAGAAAAAACACTTTCTGACCAGTTCGAGGCCAAGCGTGCTAAGAAGCGAGCAGGGAGAGAAAGATGGGCAGAAGAGAAGAACGCCTTGCACAGGTAGTTCTTCACATCTATTGAACCAAAATTGTAGTGTTTGGTTCACGGATTTTTGCATTCTTGAGAGGAATCTTTTTATCCGGGAATTTGTTTCCCACGTTTGGATGGCCACATTCCCAAAAGAGGGTAAAAGTTCAATACCAACACTAAGCTGGAAACACGTAGTCTTTTTTTTTTTTTTTTTTGTTAACTACATGGACGATCACTATCTTTCAGTTTTGCTCATTTTTTGTTATTGATTTTAAAATACATAAGATATGATCACTTACGTTTTTATTTAAGATGTAGTCACTCTGAATTAACTCTCGTTAACAACAATTAAATATTTTTTATATAATCACACATTTGATCCCTTCTATTACATTTCTCTCAATTTAGTCATACTTTTAATAAATTAAAATAAATTTAATCATCCAATTGAAAGATGTAAGGTTGTTAAAAAATACTCGACCCGATTGACCAGTTGTAAGTATTTATAATAAAAATACTCGATTTTCTGAGTCGGGTACCAGACCAGTTTTGGGTCGAGCATGTGTCACAAAATGTTAGTTAACTAAATACCCTTTGACCCGATATCCGATTTATTATATATTTTTATTTTATTTTATATTAAATTTTATTCATAATTCTCAAATTATTTTACTCTAACATTCTAATATCCTAATTTCTTAAATTTTAACACCATAACATTCTAAATTCTTAATTTCTTAAATTATTTCACATTAATGTTCTAAATTATTTTTTAAAAATATTTATTTTAATTTTAAAACATTTGAAATTTCATTATATTTCTTTATTTTAAATTTTTAATATATTTTATTCTAATTATGTAATTTGAATTTTAAACTTTATGTATGAATTATATATATTATATACTTTTAAATTTTAGAATTTTAGAATATTTTGATATAATTTTTTAAAAATAATATAATTTAAAGAAAAAGTAAAAAATCATGAACCAGGTATCCGTGACCCGAATTATATATAATATAATTATATATATATATATATATTAACCTTAAATATTTTTATATTAACTTATTAAATATATTTTACTATTAACTTAGTTTAAAAATATTTTATTTTCATTTTCATTTTCATTTAAAAATATATAGTTTATTTTAATTTATTAAAAATATAATTAAATTAAAAGAATATATAAATAATATGGATATATCCAAATATTTAACTGTTGTTAATCTTGTTTTTGATTGCTTCTGTGACTAAAATGTTTGTTTGAGCGTTGCAGGGACCTGGTGCAAAGGCAGCAGCGCAACAGGCCGAGTAAGATGCGTGACAGAATTGTTTTGTTTTTGTTTCTTCATGTGTTTTCAACTGCTCTAATTTGGATTTCTTTTTTATATCTGCGGGGGAGTTAAGAAGTGAATGTAAGTGAGAAAAAGCATTTAGTTTTTTATTTTATTTTATGTTTTATTTTCTTACTTTACATATGATTTGACTTTTGAAAACCCACGGAGTTTATAGTATCGGTACTCAGACTTTAAGTATCGATATTTCCTGCACTAAATATAAAATATAGCAGTTGGAAAAAAGTAATATCAATACTGATATATGAAGTATCGGTACTATTATAATAAGTTATTACGGTATAACCTGTATTCAATTCTTGGTCGATTAGTCTGGACTGAATATTGTAACGACTAATGGTTAGTATTATAAAAGTTCATTATTTACTAATACATTATTGTTCGAAACCGATATCTCTTCCGTTTCGTTAACGATAATATACAAAAATGAAATTAGAATATGAATGGAATACATTGGTCATGGGTTGAGAAATGAAAGCTGAACGTTCAATGAATTTAAAGTGTTCGCATCTTAAAGATTTGCTGCATATTATTTATTGTGTTGCTATTTAACTCGAAATCAATTCAGTTAAGGAATATTATAATAAATTAATATTTTTATTATCAAAAATTTGTTTTTATATAATTAAATTGTTAGATATTTTGATAAATTTGAGAGATTAAGCAAGCAAGTCAGTTTTGCCTTAAATCAAGGGTTGAATGTAACTAACAACAGTAAATTAACTAATGCTTGGGTCTATTTATTTTAATTTTTTAAAAAGAAATAAATTTTTATTTGAATTTGGTTAAGAGCTTATAATTAGTGTTTAATATAGATTTATTAAAAAGTTTTTTTTATTTACGATTTGCTCCTTAAACTTTATCATACTTTAGTATTTAAACTATTGTTTTATTTTCGTTTTTTTTTTGTAAAAAAAATATGACAATGATAAGACTTGAAAATTTTAAGTATCCACAACAACAAAAGTATGTATATGTAAGTGATCAAATTGTAAATTAAACCATTAAGAGATTCAAAATCAAAACATGCTTCATGGTTTTAATTTATGTATTGCAAATAAAATTTAAATACTTATGAGACCACTAAACTATCACGAAAATAATCTTTTTGATCAATACTCTTTTGAATATTAAAAAGTGATCATTAATTTTGTCAAATTATTGTTATTTCATAATATATAGAGAATAATTTATAATAATTTAATAAATTGAAATATTATTTTATAATATTTAAAGGTTTATTGACTAAAAGTATCATCTCCATATAATTAAGTGACCTCTAAGTACTTTGCCCAAAATGAGAGAAAGAAGAACCTTGAAAAGCCAAGCGAAGCAATAGTTTATTTCTATCACTCGATCAGCAACACATTCTCTCAATGCTATTCGATTTTCGAATTTATCAGATCAAATCCACAAGGAAAAAGTAAAACAACAAAAAAGAAATTATCGGATCTTTGATTAAGTTTCCAATCAAGCCAATTCAATGGAGTCGGATCAAAGTGGCCTACGGTACTTGCAAATGCAGCAGCAGGAGCCAGCAGCACCATCGATGGTGACACAATTCTTCTCGTTCACTCCAGGTGTAGCCCCTGAGTCGACTCGCATTTTCGACGAGTTACCTAAAGCATCCATCGTTTCCGTCTCTAGACCCGACGCCGGCGATATCAGCCCCATGCTTTTGTCTTACACCATCGAATTCCGATACAAACATGCAAGTTTTCCTTTTTGATCAAATTCCTCCTTTCTCGAATTTGTTTGAAACTTTGAATTTCGAATTACATCTTTTACGATCTTAACTTTTCTACTTTTTAATGTTTCAGTTTAAGTGGCGGTTATTGAAGAAGGCTTCGCACGTTTTTTACTTGCACTTTGCTTTGAAGAAGCGGCTGTTTATCGAAGAAATTCACGAGAAGCAAGAACAGGTCTGTGTAGATATAACGACAGTGTTTACATGTATGAAGGTTTCTTGTTTATTGATTACTGGTTGGCTCAGAATGGATTAGGATTTTGATGCGGTTTTCTTTATGAATATTATTATATTAAAGGTTAAAGAATGGCTTCAAAATCTAGGAGTAGGAGACCAAGTACATACGCCGGTTCTGCACGAAGATGATGAACCGGATGAAGATTCTAATTCATTACATCATGATGAAAGTGTGAGAAACAGGTAAATTGTTATTGTTGCCAACTTCCCTATGCAAAGGAAAAGAAAATTTTAACTCCTAGTACTTACGAGTGTTTTTCTGTTCTTTCTTCCCCCCCTTGTTTTTGTATCTATTCAGAGATGTTCCGTCAAGTGCTGCTCTTCCGGTTATTACACCAGCCTTGGGATGGCAGTCTTCTATCTCTGATAGAGCAAAGGTTGCAATGCAGAAATATTTGAATAACTTTCTTGGAAATTTGGACATTGTTAACTCTAGAGAGGTATGCATTTGTCCATCTATATTTAACTTCATAGGTATTAGACCTTCCTTCAATAAATGACCGGATTCAACTTAGCTTTTTCTTCATGGAACAATCATTACGTAGAAGAGTCCTCCTAAATGCTGTTTCAGTAAACTATCAGTTGATAAATTGAAAGGGTTGTTTAATTGTAGTCGGATTTTGTAATTGAAGTGTAAAAACATAGAAATTGGAATGTGATTAGTAATCACTATGTGTTCAATGTTTAGATATTTGTTACTCTATTTCCCTCTTTTATTGTTTGTATAGGCATCTCTGTCAATTTTCTTGTAGGTTTGCAGATTTTTGGAGGTTTCATCGTTGTCGTTTTTACCAGAATATGGCCCTAAGCTAAAGGAAGAGTATGTAATGGTGAAACATCTACCAAAAATTGCCAGGAATGATGACTCTGATAGATGTTGTGCATGCCCTTGGTTCAATTGTTGTAATGACAACTGGCAAAAGGTAATGTGATTTCATTTCAGAAATGTCAGTTAATATTCAACTTAAAATGTGCTTGTTCCAGAACCTACTTTGCACATGCTTGCGGTGCAGAAAATACTAATTGACCCTTTCACTATCCAAATATTCTTGGGTAGGTGGGAAACGGGCATGCCAGTTTTCATATGCTGTGCTCCTGCAAGAGATATCACTTGGTCAACTGTGCTTAGTGAGGTAGCATGTAATAATGTATAGTAATAGCCTGCTGTTGCATAACGGGCGCGATGGGTTAAAGTTAAACTAAATGAATATTAATGATTTGGGGAGAGAGTTTTGAAGACGGGTTAATGATTGTCATACTTAGATTCTTATGCTTGAGAGAATTGGCTGTTGTAGTATCTTAGCTTGCTAGAATGTTAAATATTTTGTACCATAATTTTTTGCCATATGGACAGTAACTCTCCGGTTGGACCATAAAGAGGCACTCCTTTGCTATTATTTTCAGGTGTGGGCTGTACTAAAACCTGGATTCTTGGCCTTTCTGGAAGATCCTTTTGATAATAAACCTTCAGATATAATTGTTTTCGATGTACTACCTACCTCAGATGGTAACGGTGAGGGCTGGATATCACTAGCAGCAGAAGTGAGGGAACGTAATCCTTTACGCCATGCCTTTAAGGTCAGCAGAATACTTGTCCTTTCTCTGGAAATTCTTTCCTCTGATGGACACGCTATTCAATTTAACCTTTTAGCAGGCATTTTAAAGTTTAAGATAGTGTTGTTCATAATCAATGACCTTTTATTGCAACTTCTTTTTCTTTTTTTGATTTGGATAAACTCCCTGACATTTTTTTTTCAATAGAAAACCTAAGGTGATGGATACGTATGCTATCCAAACAGATAGTTACTCCAAAAATCCCTGATCATTAATCTTTATTAACATCACATCAAGTACCAAACATATAGGATCAGGATAATTTATGGGTTTTTTTGCACTGAAGATCTTTTTTGAAGTCGTATTCTTTCTATACATTAACATAACTATTTGCCTCTATAATGGTGGGTTAAGTTGTATGTCTGATGAATATATCTAGAGAAACTCACTTTCTAACAGATAATTGGGAACTTCAAAAGGTCACATGTGGAGTCCGGAGCATAAGGATAAGAACCAAGAGTAGTGCTAGAGTTAAAGACTGGGTTGCTGCAATTAATGATGCCGGTCTTAGGCCTCCAGAGGGCTGGTGCCATCCTCATCGTTTTGGCTCTTTTGCTCCTCCAAGGGGTTTGACAGATGATGGTAGTCAGGCTCAGTGGTTTGTAGATGGTCGTGTAGCGTTTAATGCTATAGCTTCGTCAATTGAGGATGCTAAATCAGAGGTCTGTCCTTTCTAATCTTGCAGGTCGACCTGAGTTGTATTCAAACTGACTTTTTTCTTCAGCATAAATAGCCTTTTTTTTATCCTAAAATTTGTGCAGATATTTATGTGTGGATGGTGGCTTTGCCCAGAATTGTATCTACGCCGTCCTTTCCGTGAGCATGCATCTTCCAGGCTCGATGCTTTGCTGGAAGCCAAAGCAAAGGAAGGGGTTCAGGTACTGTAATTTTCATTTATATATTTCTAGGAAGTTCGTAAGAACTTTTTTTTCTAAAGACTTTTGGTTTCATATAGAGCCCCTTTAAAAGTTACAAGCCTTATTTAACTGTTAAAAATGTTTTTATTTTATCTTTTAAAACAAATTAAAATTCTTCTTCTACGGTATATATATGTCCAATCCTCACGAGAAGATGTTATGCTTAGCTAACTAATTTTCAAGTTATTTACTTTAGTGGTCTGAATGTGTCTATGATTGCAGATACACATCCTTCTTTACAAAGAACTTGCTCTTGCCTTGAAAATCAACAGTGTCTATTGCAAGAAAAAGCTTCTTAGCATTCACGAGAATGTGAGGGTATTGCGTTATCCTGACCACTTCTCTGCCGGTGTCTATCTATGGTATGCATTACTTGGAGAATTGAGTATGCAAATGCATTTATGTTGAAACCTTTATTGCGCTAATATATTGGATTTTTTTTTACTCTGAATATGTATTTCTTCTACATGTAGGTCCCACCATGAAAAACTTGTAATTGTTGATAACCAAATTTGTTTTATTGGAGGACTTGATTTATGCTTTGGTCGCTATGACACATTTGAACACAAAGTGAGCGATAATCCTCCCGTAATATGGCCTGGAAAAGACTATTATAATCCTAGGTAAGCTTTTAGCTTAAGCAAAGATTCTCCTTTGAATATTTGATAATACTTTTAAGAAAATGTTTTCAAATTCAACTTGTCCATTCATTTTGGCCTTTCATGAGCTCGTCAAATATCAGTGGTCATTAAGTATTATATGCTTAATTTACACACTCTTATGCTGTACTGTTCTATTACAATGACGTCATTAATAGAGTGATGGACTATTTTGGCTGATTTTACAATCTATCATAAATTTGACATGGCAACTTGCTTCTGCTTAATGTATCTTCCACTCTCGAGGTTTTGGTCTTGTTCCTTAATAGATGTTCCCCAACAGTTCTTGAATTCTAATCAACGGGATTAACTCCTTTGTTTGTTTAAAGTGACCATGAGTTTCCAAACCTCCAAGAGTTTGTAACTTCTTATTCTGCGCCTCCCTCTTCCCACTCTTTTTTATAACCATCTTGAAAAACAGGGTTAACTATTTGTGGTTATGATTATGGTTTTTTTTAAGCTCTTTCAGTTCCTAACCAATTTCCCATTGCCTTCCAGGGAATCTGAACCGAATTCATGGGAAGATACAATGAAAGATGAGTTGGATCGTGGAAAATATCCTCGAATGCCTTGGCATGATGTACATTGTGCACTCTGGGGACCACCTTGTCGTGACGTAGCACGACATTTTGTTCAGCGCTGGAACTATGCCAAGGTCATTTTTATTCAGAATTAATATAGTAGTAAACATGTCATAAATGTGTTATTTAACAAAATTTTGCTGCTTTTTTACCATAAGTAGAGAAATAAAGCTCCATATGAGAAAGCAATTCCACTACTTATGCCTCAGCAGCATATGGTGATTCCACATTATATGGGAAGAAGCAACGAGATTACTGAGGACAGTAGTAGTCATACAGGCCGCGGACATGATTCCTTTTCTTCTATGTCATCTTTACAAGATATTCCTCTACTTTTGCCTCAAGAGGCTGATTGTAGTTCATTTCCAAAATCAAACGAGCCAGACTCTACTGCTGGTAAAAGTACTTATTTTCCTTTCCGAAAGTCCAAAATAGAACCAGTTGCAGACACACCCATGACAAGCTTTGTTGATGACCTTGGCTCCCCGGATATTAATATGGAAAAACCTGTGGATTTAAAAAAGCAACCTGGAAGCAAACTTATAGACCCTGAGTGGTGGGAAACACAGGAAAAGGGTGATCAAGTTGATGTCGATGATAAAACTGGACAGGTTGGTCCGCGAACTTCATGTCATTGTCAGGTGGGTTATATATTAGTTGAGACTTGATAACAAACTGTATCTGTCTCATGATATTTGTTTATTTTTCATTATTTTGATATCCCGATTTCTTAGTCTTATTTCCTAACATTCATAAATATGCCATTGAAATTCTTGTCATATACTTTGTTAAACAGCATATAGCTGTAACAAGATAAGGAAAAGTAAACTTAAAAGGATGGGAACACGAAAGTAATATCTATGGTAAATTTTCGTTTGTATTCAGTTCTGCGCATTTGCAACCCATGGAGTTTTTTTTGTGCATAATGAACTCTATTATTCATCTTCTGCTGTTACTTTGGGTTAGGCACAATGAAATATTAATGCGACCAGCTACTATATCTACTGTTCTATTTGACTTTTGTTTTCATTTAAAGTTAGACTTTTTAGCTTATATGTAGTATAAACAAGATCTATGATTTTCAGATCATAAGGAGTGTCAGTCAGTGGTCTGCTGGAACCAGCCAAATAGAAAAGAGCATACACTGTGCTTATTGCTCCCTCATTGAGAAAGCAGAACACTTTGTTTATATAGAGGTATATGCCTATTTTTATTTTTATTTTTAAAAAAACTTTTGTTGATGTTCATATGAATCTATTAATTACATGATTTATCCTTACTGTTGGTTTCATTCTTCCACGACCTTTCCCAGAACCAATTTTTCATATCAGGACTCGCAGGAGATGAAATTATCAAGAATCGAGTCTTGGAAGTATTATACTGGCGTATTTTACGAGCACACAGTGAAAACAAGTGTTTCAGGGTTATCATTATCATACCCCTGCTTCCTGGTTTCCAGGTTCTGGCCGATAATCTTTAAACTTGTATTTCAGATCAAGGCCTTAAGCTTGAACTCATAATTAATTTCAACAGGGAGGTCTTGATGATGCTGGTGCAGCATCAGTGAGAGCCATAATGCATTGGCAGTATCGAACCATTCGTAGAGGCCATAATTCGATATTGCATAATCTTTATGATCGCATTGGTCATAAAACTCATGATTACATATCCTTCTATGGTCTTAGATCATACGGCAAACTTTTTGATGGTGGCCCTGTGGCTACCAGTCCGGTATGTTTTTGCATTAACATTTTTCTTCCTCATTATTAATTCTCTTGACGGTGGCATAACGTGTCAGTGAAAGTTTAGCATGTAGCATACCCTTGTTTGACAAGTAATTCACCCCTACTGTTTCTGCAGATATATGTTCATAGTAAAATCATGTTAATTGATGACTCGGCGGCCATAATCGGATCCGCTAATATTAACGATAGAAGTTTACTTGGATCAAGAGATTCAGAGGTATCACTGCATTCTGGATTGCTTAAATGTTTTGGTGAAATTTGAGTATTTGACTGAAAAGATAAATATAGTTCAGGTCTAAATGTTAATAGAGGTGAAGGACGAGATATAATTGAATCAGGATTACAAGTTGCTGGCAATTTAGCATCAAAATATATCTGAAATTCGGTATAACAGTTTTGATGGTTTGATTGTGTAACACTTCAATGCTTTGTATAGATCCTTGACTGACATTTAACATCTTTATTACTTCTATATGAGTTTTGATTTCACAAGTAATACTTCAGATCGGTGTGCTTATCGAAGACAAAGAATTAGTTGATTCACGGATGGGAGGAAATCCATGGAAGGCTGGAAAATTTGTTTTGAGTCTTCGCCTTTCGTTGTGGTCTGAACATCTTGGTCTTCGGAAAGGAGAGGTTAGTCAGCCAGCATTCATTCATAGTTATTATGCTCATTGAATTGAACTATGAGATCAGTCTTGATATATATATATCTTGTTCATACAGCCTGATAAATGTGTTCTTCCTTTTTCCTTTTCTTCTCACCTCAGGTAAATCAAATAATCGACCCCATTTGTGATTCGAGTTATAAGGATATATGGGTTGCGACGGCAATGGTAAGGACTGGAATCATATGTTTATACGAGAACAAGAATTTTGGGTGGTTTAATAATCTCACATGGTTTAAGAACTCTCTCAGCTGTTCAATGACTCGATACTTGCATAGCACTTATATGACATATAGCTAATGATTTATATGGCAGTTGAATACAAACATATACCAGGAGGTCTTTTCATGTGTCCCGACCGACCTCATCCATTCCCGGTACACAATTACGTCTCTTTCGTGCTCCTTTCCGCTGCTCTTTAGTTACCCTTTCCCAACTTGTAACTTGATGTTCCGTGTTATGCAGGCTTGCACTTAGACAAACCCTCAGGGAAAGACAGTCTCACACTACAAGCGATTTAGGAATAGCCCCGGCGAAATCGGAATCGTCCCAGGCCGGAGAAATCGAAAAAGCCGATCCAACCGATCGATTAAAATTGGTTCGAGGACATCTTGTTTGTTTCCCCATGGATTTCATGTGCAGAGAAGATTTAAGACCAGTGTTCAATGAGAGTGAGTATTATGCATCTCCTCAAGTTTTTCATTGACATCTTTCCCCCTAACAAATTTGCTTAGAAACCCTATATTTTGACATCTTTGATTTGTTCTCCACTTTGTCTAGGATTTGAGCTTTGATTTTAAATTGGTAAAATACCTCTTAGTTTTTTTATTTCAAAATTTTGACAAATTGATTGAGCTGTAAATAAATCGAATTTGAACGGATAAATCTTTATTTATTTTCATTTTTTATATTCGTTTTATTTTTCTTAAGAATTTCATAATTGTAATAATGTTTATTTATTTAAAAATTAGAGTAAATTATACATTTTTTTTATAAAATTAATATTAATATTATTATATTCAAGAGTCGCATGCTTGATTCTTTAAAGGTATTCATTTTATTCCCTAATTTACCTATCACAATTTAATTTAAATACTAATTGTTGTTTAAAATGTAACGAATTTCTTATTTAAAATGTAACGAATTCCTTAATTTAATTATAAAAATATAAATATTAGGGTAAAGTACGCAAATGACCCTCCTATTATAAGATGTTATTTTGTTGAATCTTCCAATTATTAAAAGTTACAAAATGATTTCTCGACAATAGAACATTACTTTGTTAAGTCCTTCGACTACTAAAAGTTACAAAATGGTCACCCAATTCATTATGTTTCAAATTTGTCCCTTTTCGTTAGAAAATTGACAGTCGTCTGAGTTGGAAGTTAACATGTTAACTGAGATATGATAGTCACTTGAGATTTTGAGATTAGATTTTATCATATTCCAATCAGTAGGTTAAACGTCCAGCTCAAAATTTAGATTGTCGTCAATTTTTTAACGAAAGAGGATGAGTTTGGACCATAATGAATAGTCGGGTGACCATTTTGTAACTTTTAATAGTCAAAGGACTCAACAAACTAACATCCTATAGTTAAAGAACTATTTTGTAATTTTAATAATTAAAGGATTAACAAAGTAACATCTTATAACCGATGTATCATTTGTGTACTTTACCCTAAATATTATATATAAAAAAGATTTATTTCAAACAATAATTTAAATTGACATGGAAATGAGAGTTGGTAAAATTTTCTGACTAGGCCCATGAAAGGTCTATTAAATGTCTTCCAAATTAGAATATTAATATAAAAATAATGCAAATATTTTAATAATATATTACCGAATCTGAATAGGGGATTTGTCGACCTGTATTTATATATAAATTTATAATTGGTGTCAATTAATTTTAACTTAGATTTGAATATAAGAATTGATTTTTATATAGATATTGGTAGTTCATTAATGAGTTTAGATTTAATATTATAAATACTAATTATAAGAGTGATTCTCTTAATTTATTTTATTTCATTTGTAATATTAAAATCCAGATTCTAAACATTATTTTAAAGATTTAACGTTTCATGCTGACAAATCTCAAAGCATTATATTATACAGTAGCCTTAATATACAAGAAAATGCCTAATTAAATCAAACATTCTTGCCCAAATCTTGATTCTTCTCTAGGGTTACATGTAAGAATGAAGATCATGGTATATATCGGTTTATTTTTCTTAATTTGAATGAAAAATAATAATTTATAGTTATTGGAAAATGAAATCCAAGAGTAAATTCATATTTGACAATTTCAATATGAAAAAAAAAACACTTACGTTTTTTTCAGGAGAAATGGCTGAGATAATGTAAGTGGGATTTTTTTAATTCCCAATATAGTCTAACTCAGGGATTATTTCCCTATCTACGGTAAATTGAACATCTACCGTAAATTGAACAGTACTAACCTAAAGACGTCAGGTGCTCCACGCGTCTTCAAGCTAAATATGAAGACTACACGACTGCATGACGTCTTCAGGTAAATGAAGAAGACCCCAGGAGTACACGGCGTCTTCCGGCAAATTGAGAAGATCTTAACCCTAATAATCATCACTTTGATATCTGGAAAAAATCTTATTTGAAAACTTATGCCGACATCGACCTCGAGCTTAAGAACCACCCCGGCATCGATTCCTTCCGTAGCGGGACGACGGCTTTGACAATCATTAAACAGGTAAATTTTTGTTATTTCTTATGTCGCTTGAGTACTCGTGCTCATATTCAAACATGCTTGGTCGACTTTGAGATGGTCCGGTTAACAAAATTTTCTCGACATTGATGGATTAGGGCCAACATCTGGTTATAGCAAACGTTGGTGATTCTCGTGCAGTCCTAGCAACTACTTCAGATGGTGGCACATTGGTACCTCTTCAACTTACAGTTGACTTCAAGCCTAACATTCCTGGTTAGATAATGAACTTGTCACCACCTTATTTCACATAGTTTTTGTAACGACTCCATTCCAGGATGTTTCACCTGTGTAACTGCATACCGGAGCGGTCTCACCCGTGTAACTGAATACCGGAGCGGTGCAGAGGAGATGTCCTGGAACCGGTCATTACAACTTTTGAGGATCTTATCTTTTGTCTATATATATGTAACAGAGGAGGCTGAGAGAATAAGACAGTGCAATGGACTAGTATTTAGCTTAAGAGATGAACCAGGTGTGTACAGGGTGTGGACGCCAAATGGGAACACACCAGGGCTAGCTTTATGGAGAGCCATCGGCGACCATTGTGTCAAAGAGTTCGGCCTCATCTCGGTGCCCGATGTCACCCAAAGAAACATCACAATCAAAGACCGATTCGTCATTTTAGCAACAGATGGGGTATGAATTGTGTTCAGCTTTCAATTCCCTAATTCATTTTCCATTCCTTTAGTGCCTTGTAGTCCAAGGAATACAGAAAAAGGGTTAGTCCGATCGATCGGGAGAAAAGTTATTTAACACGTGTCTTCCGATGTTCGATTGAATTAGGTGTGGGATGTTATTTCAAACGAGGAAGCAGTCGAGATTGTTTCGACGGCAGAAGATCAGGAGAAATCGGCAAAGAAACTGGTTCAATGTGCCATAAGAGCATGGAAGTACAAGAAGAGAGGTATTGCAATGGATGATATTTCAGCAGCCTGCCTTTTCTTCCACCCAAGCTGTCTCGAAACGTTGACTTTGTCAAGGCTGCCGCCTTTACAAACACGGCGAAACTCAGCTAACCGTCCATTGCCGCTGGCCGTCAGCCATCAGCCGTTCATTGGCTCTGTATTACAGTACTATGTATGGATGTAATGTCAAAACTATTTGGTGTGTTAATAAGATAAGATGTATATGCTTGAGAAGATCCTTGGCCGCCTCAATTAATGGTACAATTACATTTCTAGCAACTTCAAAATTTTATTAGTTCAATTAAATCCTTAGTAGCCCCCATTTAAAGGGAAACCTTTCATATTTGGTGCTCCAATCAATTGAAGATATTTAGACATGCACAAATAATTTTTATTTTAGCCCTCTAATGTATAATATTTTAGCCCTATTTCGTGGACGAAAACACATTTTCGGACCGTGATTTGAAACCCTGAGCGTAACAATAACATCTTGAGCACATTCATTTTTCACACGTAAATGATCCTTTGATAACAAATAATACCTCTCACAAGTGGATTGCAGAATCGATTCTTCCAGCACTTACAAGCATGGAATCTATACCTCTCCTTCATCATCTCCAATTTTCTTTCTATTTTTCTCTCTTTTTCTGCGCATGTCGTATCAATATTCTTTATTAACTTTCTACATTATGCTACATGCATTCGGATTTTCGTCGCTAAACATCGACGAAATATTTCCGTTGCCGTTGCTGCTGCTGGCATAGCTGTAATTACTATAATACCCGTCTCTGTAATGATCGATCCTACTGTAATGCGAGTGTCGCGGCGGCGAACGGACGTATTCGTATTCCGTTACGTATGGTGACGGCTTGTACGTGTTGTAGCTGTGAGTTACGACGGGCGATTGCGGCAGTGGTTGATGGTGGAAAGGTTGGCCATTAGGATAGAAACTGCATTGGCTATGACAAGTAGGGTATTGTGTACCATAGGGTCCTCCTCCGTAACTGTGAGCGTATCCGTATCTGTATCCGCAATCGGGTGGCTGGTGACATATTACGTGAACTCCTACGTCTTTTGGTCCCGAAGGTTGCGGTGGTTGCTGGTCGACACTCACATCCGCGGGTGCGGGTGCCAGTTCAGGCTGTGGAGTCTCTGGAGGTGGTTGGTCTTTCGGTGGCTCTGCAGTTTCAGCTTCAGGTTGTGGAGAAGCAGCATAAGCGTCAGCTGGCGGTTGAGTTTCTGATGGAGTCGGATTCGTTGTCTCCGGTGGTTGTTCCGGTGGCTGAGTAGCCTCTTCGGGTGGTTCCGAATGCGAACAAATCGTTACAGTCTTCCTAGTCTTCCGAATTGCCTTAACGATCTTCTCCGGATCCGCCCATCCTATGACTGTCAACTTCTGTCGAGCAATATCTGGATAGACTTCATAAATACCTATAAACAAACCCGAAAAATCATGATTCAAGCAATAAAACAGTAAAATCCGTAACCGGTATTGCAATATAATCTAAATTACTGGAAAAAAAAATCATGGTACTAAGAATTTAACTATAAAACTGAATTGAATTATATATAACTGAAATTTGTACATAAATAGTCCAACAAAATCATTTGCAAATATTAACCACTTGTTACCATGAATCCCATGGAGCGCCTTTCTGATCTTCTGAACGCAACCGTTGCAGTCCATTCGGACTTGGAGCTCGGTGATTCGAGGCTTCTGCACACAAGAAACATGGCGGTTAGTCAAAACTGTCGTAATGCGGAGGATGTTTCGTAGATGAATTACGAATTTTACCTCGATCTCCGACGACATGAGGCGGAGGGAGATGGTGGGGAAGAAGGAAATGGGATGAAAGCCCGGAGGGAAAGTATGGAATGCGTTAGAAGATGGAGAATCAATAGGTGCATTTTATTTGTACACGAATAATAAGGAATGTCTCAAAGGCAAAAGACGTGGGGTATGTAAGGAATCAACTCTTTCTTTGCTGCCAGCTTTGTTAGGCTTCAAAGCCTCACTATCATTTCATAATGGGAGAAAAAAAGATTGGTACTTTATGGATTAAGATATTGTTTAGATTTGTTTCTGAAAGTTGAATCTAGTGGTTCATCATGCAACACTATTCATCCAGATTATGGATGGCTGTTCATCAAACAACTAAATTTCTCCAAGAATTGGAAAGAAAAAAAAAGACGAAAAGAGCCGCCGGATTCCGCATCTACATTGCTGCAGCGGTAACCGCAGGATCCGTATTGCAAAAACTAGAAGAAGATTGGCATTTGCCCAAAAGGAATCACATAAAGTCGTAATCATCGACGTCATCGTAAGCATTAACAACCAAATCATCATCTGGTTTGTCGACATGGAGCTGTTTCTTCTTCCCACCTGAAAATTAAAAAATAGAACCACGGTTAGAGAATTGTCGTACTTAAAATTGATTACGAGCATAATACGATATATAATCAGAACAATTTGTTAAGAAGATGAATTAGACAAAAGCACATAGCTTCTCTATACGGTAATATTATTGGGGGCTCGAACACCTACATCGGGTGTTGGAAGTTCTTTCTTACTATGACCTTTGCAAAAGCAAATAGGGGTATCATGCAGCATCATAGTGTCTCATGAACTTTAGGTTTAATGTTTAAAATTATGGAAGGGAGTGGCATTTACCTATGTCGGAACTCGGAAGCGGCAATTACCCGATAATGAAATTAAGGAGAGGCATTTATTTACCTACCCTCACTATAAGCATAATGCTCAATTATACATGGAAGTAACTTTGCGTAACTATAGTCGAATCCACTTTTCCCTAAAAAGAGTATTTCTTTTTCTCCCACAATTGATTTAAAATTCTCAATTAAGTGAAAATTTGACAGAAGAATATAACAGATGCCAGAAGAATGAAAGGAACATCGGATCGGTTACCTGTCTTCTTTTTAGTTGTCACTTCTTTTTCTGCTTTTAGCTTTTCATTCGCGATTGCTGCGACTGAAGATCCAATATCTTTGACATCAGCAGCTTTCAAATTAGTCAACGATAATCTCATCATGGCCTTGAGTAGGGCAATATAGTGGAAACTTTTCTGCATCAAAGGATGGATTTAGGCGACATGAGAACTTCGTCAATGCAGTCCCAATGAAGGAAAAGAAGGATGATTAAACTCACTTCATATGGACGAAGCTTGTGAGAAATAAGATCGGCATACTCCATAAAGTCACTTTCAGATTTGGGAATAAAATTATCAAGTGTCTTATCATCACCTTTCTTGGAAAAAAGTTCAGCAGTTGACCTATAATCAGCTTCTTCCACAAGCCTACGAAAGAAAGCAAAATGTCAGATCAAGGTGCCTTAAACAAAATAAATAGTATGCGAATAGTTGCAGAAAAAACAGTAAGACTTCGGCTAATATAGAAAACAAGCTACAACAAAATAGTGAACAAATTTAAGTTCTAGGAATCACATTTTGCTTCAATATCCACCCCAATGATCAAGGAAAGACCTCGTTGTCATAACAATGGAAGTTAAAAATACAAATTTTCTACCTTTGTTGACGAAGTTTCTCCGCCACTGGATCAAGGGGCTCTTCCTTGGCTGCTTCAATAGTTTTCCCTTTCTTTTCCGTAGCTTTAGCTGCAGCCTTTTTGGGGGCCTTCTCTTCTGGTGCTTTTGCAACAGGCTGATGATACCAATTAAGGAGACAATGAGTACAAGCAAATAATCTTAACTCCATTATCAGATATACAACACAAATGCGCATTGTATTGAATAGAATGTTCACAGGAAGCAGCTAAGTTACAATACGCATAGTAAAACATTTACGCTAATGAGTTCGTAACACTAGGTATGATACAAAAACACTAACATTAGGCCAATGTCCCGACTATTGTTGTAGGCGACACCATTATCAAAAGGGATGCAGGTTTAGAAGACAATATAACATCTTTAGGAGACATTCCATCTACTTGAATTACCAAATCTAAGTTCTAAAACAGGCTGCTAATCCAAGATTATATAATATTTATATCCAACAATGCCTGGAGATACATATATCAAAATCAAATCCGGATCAATCCAAAAAGAACTAATAACTTTCAGAATAAAACAAGCATATCCACACACACCATGTTAAAATAATCCAAGTTACAAGGAGATCCATCATACCTGAGGAGGTTCAGGTTCATCTTCATCCTCCCATGATTCCTTGACATCGGAATCATCGATATCTTCATCGTCCCATTTGCTTTTAGGTATCGCCTTTGTAGGGATAGACGGAATCTCTTCCTCTGCAAGAATAGCATACAATTTTGAAAGCCAAAAAAAGGTTAAAGAAAACAAAAATCACAAGCAGCAGATCAAAACAGAAAGAATCACAAAATGCAATAGGTACTTCAACTAAGATTCGAAATAGACCATAGTTCTAGCGCTTAAATTTCTCTACTTCACCTGGCAACACCAGAGCCAATTTCCCAATAAATTTTTACTCAAAGCAATCAGCTTTGAAACATCACAACTCAACCCCGTTAAAACCAAAAGCCAAAAAACATATAAAGCCCTAAATTTCAAGAAACCCAATCAATTTTTGCCTCTTAACAAGAAAAGGGAAAATAAATCTTTCAACATTCAAGTTCATAAATAATGAAAGATACAAAAGGAAATAAAATCACTTGTGAATCAAAGCCCTGCCTATAAACAACAAATTTGGGCCAAAATAAACGTACCCCAATCTTCCATCTCCACTTCTCGAAATTCCACGGATCGAAGAACAATCCTGAATACCAAAATATATATATATATATATATATATATATATTCTTTTAGATTAAAAAAACAAAATTTAACAAAAAAAAAGAGAAGAAATTTACCTGCCTTCAGAATAACTATAGTTGTTTGAAGTTGTGGGGGTTTATGTGTAAATCCCTTTTCTCTTCAGTTCAGATCAGATGGAAGATGAATTGTTTATTTGTTTTAGGGTTTCTATATTATTACCTAATAGAGAAAAATCCCAACTCGAATATAAAATCTTGGGCTTTTTAATTACCTAAACGCTCTTCAACTAGTTTGTAGAATCTAGATCGGTCTTCTCCCAAAAAAAAAAAAGAATAAGGGTTAATATGTTATTTTTATCACTCAACTTTGATCATATTTCTAGTTTAATTACTAAATTCTAAAAATTTAAAATTTGATATTTCAACTTACGAGACGGTGAATTTTGTTTACTTTTACAGTGTGATTGAAGGCGATTTGTCGATGAATAAACTCGAGAAAATCACTTACGAGACGAAGTTAGAGGCCTCTTCAGCTGGGTGGTCTATATGCAAGACTACTGGTAAGTGTTAGGTATGTTGTTAAGATTAGTTTGTATCATTTGTTCGAATGAACATTTTGGTTTCGATTTTGTTTTTAGGGTACTTTAGCTTTTAATGTTTCAATATTTGATCGAAATGATCCCTGTCAGAGGAAAACTATTAGTTGAATAACATTCAACGCAAGTTGTTATGTGATATTTTCACATGTGTTAAATTATTGACGTGTTACATCCCACGCCACCATAAGGTGATGACATGCCATGTGCCGCGTTATCCAAAGTTATAATGTGATAAGTGGTGACATACGAAAATATCACATCAGCATTATATGTTGATTGTTAATCAACTAATGATTCTTTCCAACAAATACTATTTTGATCACAAATTAAAACATTAGAAGCAAAATTAATTTTGAAAAGTAAGGGTGTGTTTGTTTGCAGGAAAACTAATTACGGAAAACATTTTCACAGTTTTTCAATGTTTGGTTTAAGGAAAACTACGGCTTAACAGAAAATTAATTACGGGTCAACGGAAAATATACTTCTTTTCCTGTAAAATATTCCTGTAAACTAATTACAAGAAAGCAAAAATAACCTAAGAATTAAAATAAACGTTAGAAATTAACCTTAACATCTTGCCTCATAATTACACCATTTGTGAGTTTGAGCTCAAAGGAAGAGGGAATGTTGAAGGCCATTTAAGCCGCAAATGGCAACTCTTATCGAATGTATGTTAGGGGCTGTTTGTTTACTGTTGAATGAAATCATTCAGCATTCAGCGTGTTTGATTCTCACCTCTGAATGGAGACTATGATGAATAAAACAACAAAACACTGTTGAATGATTCAGCATTAAAGTACATTATGAATCATTAAGCACTCGGTATTTTACCATAATACTTATTTTTTCACATGTTGTCTTATTAAACAATCATATCTTATAATATAATAAATCATTATGATGGTAAAAATGAAAATATTCATAATTCAAATTATACATTCAGAATCATTATCAAACAACATATCACATTCAGAGTCAATTCATACAGAGCTTTTGAATCATTCAGACCATTGAATCATTCAGCGATTAATCATTTTATTTTATCAAACAATCTCTTAATATTGAGATTGCATCCACTTCAATGAACATCAAACAATTGGCCTATCAATTGAACCCACCTCTGCCGTGTCCATGATGTTTGGCGAGATTTTACGGTCAGATATTACAAATGTTGTTAGTGAAAAAGACCATCATTTGCAGTTAGTTGTTTTCTGGGTAAATTACCTTATTGGTTCCTCAATTATTATTGATTTTCTATGCTGGTCAACTAACAGAAAATAGGTTCAATTTCGTTATCAAACTTACAAATGTTAAATTTAGTGAACGTCCAAGATATTACAAAAGAATCAACTAAGATATTATCAATAAAAAATAAAATAAATATAATACTCAAGAACCAACGTCTCCATTCAATTTCTGTTTTTTTGTTTTTTTGTTTTTTCTAGTCTTCGTTCCAATCCAGATCAAGTGGTTTATAGGTCATCTTTGTAGAGAGAAAAGTCTCACTTCTCACTAGGTCTCCATTCAATTTCTGGTTTTGGTTTTGTTTTCTGGTCTTCGATCCAATCCAGGTCAAGTGGTTTACCAGTCATCTTTGTTGGTCTTTCATGGCTCTAGAGGTTCACGATTATTCACTAGTAAAAAA